TAATCTGTGAAAACAAATGGAGATCAAAATCAGATACAAGTTTGGGGAGGAAATGTTAATTTCCCTTTCATTGCCATGTTGTCACTAGTTTTATAGACTGACCTAAGCCAAACTTCCTGACATTACAAATACAGAGCAAAACAGAGATATTCTCAAATAATAAAATCTGTTTTACTTTGCCTTTTTCTACTGAGCCCAATGACCCATATTAGGAATAAACCCAATATACTCACAGGGGGAATAAGGGGAAATCCTTCCATTTTGCAAGCTTGCAACATTCAGCCAACTTCTGAGTGAATTTTTCTTAATTCAATTTTCAAACATCCAGCATAACTGACTTGAAAAAAAATCACATTAAAAAAAAATAAAAAAGGAAAGAAAAAAGAAAAAAAGAAAAAAGTGAGATCCGCTGAGATCCTCGGACTCTGTAAAGTCCCTTTGCAGTGATGGATCTCAGGATAGGAGAAGGACCCTAACAAGTTTTCATAGTTTGCCCTAGTAGGTTATGAGGTGAACTTCTTCCCAAGTGGTATGTGAAGTTCCTGATTTTATCAAATGTCTGTAGAAGGAAGATAGCCCCTGAGTCTATCAGAGAGCTGTGACATCACACTTTAGCCAGTTTGCATAAATCTCTCTCATTTATGGAGCTGTGGCGCTGCAGCAGGAAGTCTGTGCTCGGCCAGATCTGCCATGGGCAGGTGCTACTGAATAATCAGAGACCCAGAGCCTGGACCTGCTACCAATAAACAAGCATATGGGTGCAGCACTCTGTGGAAGACTACGTGCTTCCAACTGTAGATGAACCATAACAATGGTGCTGTTCTCTGGTTTAATGATATATCGTAAAGACACAGTCCTGACAACTTCTGTGAGGCCAGTGCAGTGGCATAGACTTGCTTTAATAATAGTCCTGTGTTGAAATTACGTGGCAATACTTAGCAGGTAGGAAAAAAAGAGTATGCAGTTTCAAATATACAGTCTTAGGTTTATACAAAACACTGAAGTGATGCCCATGAGACTTTTGTCATAAACTTTGCAAGAGAGTAATTGTTTCAGTGAAAGACACTTTGTCTTCTTATTTGTTTCTTGTGGATCTTTTCTTTTGTAACTCCTGCAAGGAGAAAGTGAGTAGGGAAAAGGAGAAAGTATTACATGTCCCATGCAATGATTCGACTTCTCTCAGGTCCTGAATCCCTTCAACAGCAAGTAGAGAGCAAAATTTACAGACTTCTATCTAAAAGGTCAGGTACAGAAATTTCTTGTAGAGATTTTGTGTTAGCTCTTCTCACATGTTGTTCTCCCCTCTCTTCACCCCACTGTTTTACTTCCATTTGGCTGCAGTGAACAAACGCCTTTCATACAGAGGTGCTGGCAGTGGCAAGAGTGAGTGGGCCAGGGGGCAGAGTGTAGGGAATGGGTCTTGGCTACAAGGGGAGAACACTCTCATTCTGTAATATGCCTTCTTGCTTTGCAGTTAGTCACTAATGTCTTGGAAAAGTGAAGTTTCGTTGTCTGGGTTGTTCCTCTTCCATCTATGCCCATCTGCCACAGGTTCTGCTCTTGAAAGCAGCCTGCTCACCACTCACCTGGGTCTATGGGTGAGGGGGAATTTCAGCCAAGACAGACTTCCTCCCTTGTACACTGGTAAAACCAGAGACCGCTCACAAGTTCCTCTCATTCCCCAGCCTCAGGAACTCAACAAGCAAACCATATTAGCAATGGGATAGCATCAAGAACACGATGGGAGGTTAACTCTTTAAGCCCCAAACTGAATTTCATCAGCATGAGGTGATACATAAGCATTTCATTCTTATTTTATTCATATCATGAATTCTTAATTATAACCTAGGAGTAAGCAAGCTGCTTAACAGTCTAGTTCTGTCTCTGAGATGATTCTCGAGTCTCCCCCTGAATACCAGCCTGGAAGTGAGCAAACTGTCTGGGGGGAAGGGAGAGAAGTAAAGCATAGCTCAGATGATAAAACTCAGTGCAAACAGAGGAGACAGGACTGAACAATAGCACACACAAATCTTACAGTGGGTAATTGAATAATAGATGATAAAAGCAACTGTGGAAATTGTGTGTCTATTAAAAAGGCTATTCAGAACAAAGAAGATATGCTATCTGATTCAAGGCATTCTGAAAGATAGCTTAAGTAGCTTCTGAAAGGTTTAAAAACTTAATGTTTTACACAGAGAGGCTTCTATTAAAGTGGAATGCAACTATATTTCGTAGGCTGGAGGATATTTCTGCACTGTCTCTTAGCACAGGAAATTACCTAATAAGGATATATATTTTGCACCAGCCTTACTGCACTCGGGGAATGCTACTTTGTAACATTATCAACCAGGTTTAAACACACGGTAATTATAAGCGCACCAAGGTTATCAATATAAATAATGAAATTGATTCTCTGTATGATGAATTAGAACTAAATAATATGCCATAAAGTTTCAGGACCAGCAGAAAGTCTAGCAGTTGAATATGCTTCTTAGGAAGGAGAGTATCTCCATAAATGGAAATGCTAAAAGTGAAATAAAATGCTTGTTTAATCTATCATATTTGTATAGGAATATCACTAAAAACAATCTTGCTAAAATTCAACATAGATTAGTTTCTCACTATTGCATATAACTGGAGTCTTATTCTTGTTTGTAATCACAGGATCTTCTTACCCCCAAAACAAGGCCTACTAGAGACAATACCTTTGCCCCAGATCCTTGCAGCTACGTTATTAGATGACTTACGTGCAGAAAAGAGATGAAGTCACAAAAAAGTTATGTAGTAGATAACTGGTTTCCAGAGGCATATGATGTGAACTGCTACTCACAGAATGTATTCTGATGTTCAAAAAGGCTTTTGAAGTAAGGTAGGGATCCTTCTCCATGATGGAAATTTGGAGAACTAGAGAAAAGCCTGCGGAGTTTAAAGATTGGGTTTCTGAAAGATTATTTCTCAAAACATTTAACATTAATATTTTCCCTCTAAACATCACCTCCCTGTGTGCAGCTTTTTGCAACATTTCTTCCCCCATCTCTAGCCATTTATTCTTCGCACTATTTCTAACCACAAACTACCAAAGTAAAAGGGTTTCAACTAGCAGCCACATCACAGAGAGGTCCCGTTACCTCAAACCTTGCTTGGTGCTTAGAAGGTAATTTTTCTCCCTACTAAAACCACAGGTGTCACTCATTCTGAAGTCTTTTAATCAGAAACAGGTGTTTACACAGATTCTACTACTAAGTCTTCTTGTAATAGTAAGACAAGACCTCTAAGCAAGGGATTCCCTTGTATGTTCCACGTTCTTTTCAGAACTATGTTTTCCATCAAACTTGTTTTATCTGGACATGATATGGCTAGTGGGTCTTGTATACCATCCTTTAACACTGAATATCCATTCAGATGACATAGATCTCTCATGGAACCTCTGGGGCCTGGAGTTCTAGAGGACAGCCCTCTGTATATAACTGTTTGTTACATATACTGCTACTGTGTTGAAGATAGGAATGGAAATATCTTTGTTGCATATATCGATAATAAGAGAGCAGGAGCCAGAAAATGGCTGCTGCAAATTACTGGCTGAAAAGCATTTGTTACCACTTTTTCTCATGGGGACCTGCCCCTCAGCATCCTTAACAGTCTGAATATAGACTCCACTGAAATATATGCTCCCATTTCCATTGTGTTAGATTATCACTCACTGATGTTCCCTTGTGATACCAACAGGTTTATTGCCATGGCTGTATTTGAACAAAGACTCTTCCTCACTATGTGGATATCCTTTCCCAGAGCTGATGCAATTCCTACTTGCAAAAAAGTGCTTTTGACACTTCAGCTTTCACGAGTTTCTGAGTTTTATGTAACGGCATCTGTACAAGGACTTTTGTTGGTGGGAAATGTCATAAAATGTCATTAAAATATCAGTCTTAACTAACTTCTCTATATCAACAAAGGTTTTCAAGCATAGACTAGTCTAAATCCATATCAGAATGAAGATAAGGATTTTCACTGGGAGAAAGAGAAGTAGTTTGAATCAGTATTAATGCAGAAAGCTTCATGGATATTCTAAGAATGATTATGATAAGCAATCACTTATAGAAATTAAAAGCACTTATTCTTCCATTTGATTAGTGACTTCTAAACTCTCCATAAAACAGAATTCAGCAAAGAAGAAAATCTCCCTTTGGCAATTTATGCAGCTTCAAGATCTGTTTCCATCTCAGCTGCATTTTGTTGTTCACTGTATTTGGAAAAACTTGTTTGGGTTTTAAGGCATTTTCAAATAACTGGAAAATGTTATGTCAGTTTTTTATGATCTTCTGCATTCTGCGGACAACAGATTTTCAATATGCATATTGCTGCTCATTTATTGTCATCCAATCTCTCAAAACAAAACTTCTGTAACATTTCAAGCAATTAACGTGGGAGAGTGCTTTAAAACCATCTACTCTTGAGGTCTATGTCTAGTGCACATACTACCTACAGTCAGTAGCACCAGTGAGATGGAGGCATTATTGTCTAAAGTCCCTTCAAAGAGAACCTACAGTCCAACAGAGGTTCTCTCTCCCTTCCTCCGCCTCCGCAATACATTTTAATAGTAAAAATTAAACCATAAGATTAAGATGCATCTGGATCAATAAGAGCACATTTGTAGAGAAAAATACTTGTTATTCATGGAGGAAATACACCCTGTATTTACTCTGACAGGGTATCACTTCAGACTGATCCTAGTCTGATGCCACAGACTGACTTCCCATTTGCAGTTGCAGACCTGAGCTGTATCTTCAGTTTCATCTGAAAACAATCTAGTTTGCGCGTTCTAATACAGCTGTGTGATGTAAAATGTAGTAAGTGGAGAGGATCAGGAGATCAATTTTAGAAGTTGTCTTGTGATCTGAACTAAATTGCTGTTCTACATCCACCATTAGAAAGGATTCTTTTCCTGAGCCTGTAGTGACCTTTGTCAACCAATGTCAGAAACATCTTTGCTGTATGGCGTTTGGAGATCTTTCTTGAGAGTTCAGCTGTATCTAGGAAGGAGTCTTGTTCTCCTAATGTAAATAATACTTTCCAGACCTGCATCTTATTAGGATTATTTCTCTTAGTAATCTCTCAGAATTCTAAACAGAAAAACACTAATCACAAATAAACATGTGTTTAGGTAGCCAGTGGGCTACATAAACTGTGCTTCTTGCTCTCTGACACGACTTTCACAAGGGCTTTGCTCCTGGAGTGGATTGCATAGACAAAGTAACTAAAGTACTAGAAGCCAGAGCTCTTCGTACATCCTCACATAGAGATTTGGCTGCACAAAAGGTGAAGCATCTATGCAAGCTGTAGATCACAGCTTTTTGTCTAAAGCTAGGACAGGTGTGTATGACACACTCAGTAGTACATTATCTATAGAAACTTTTTCTTACAGAACTAATTGTTAATTACAAAAATTGTGTTTGAGTTAATTACATTTCAGCCTTTTTTAACCTCAGACCATTTTCACACAGTCACATGCAGTTAGATTATTCAGTTTTTGTTTTTGCTTTCTTCTCTGTGGGTTTTTTTCAGGTGCCTTGAAATCTGCAGGGTTTGGTAAAAATCTAC